CTCACTAAGAAGTATTTTAAGCTATAAAATGAAATCGGGCCACAGACGATCCTTTATATCTGAAGCACTATTAATTCTATATTGTGTACTTGTCAATCATAATTTGAAGGGCTAATTTACATATTTTAACTAAATTAGATAAAAATATTCTTAATTTCTCCTCCTACCCTATTTAATTTTTGGAGCATTTACATACATATACGTCTAGAGCTAGCATTAGGCGGAGGCCCAATAAGCTCGCCATAACCCCGCATAGAATGGGCGGGCCAACGTTGGAATGAGCCAGACTTGTGCCAAACTCGGCTAGCCCATTGGCCTGATCTCATAAATATATTTTATGATTGCAAATTTTTTAGGTCAGTAATTTCCTCATTCTTCTCTTCTTTATCTAGCCATAAATCTTGATTTTTATATTAATTCCAACTAAAGCTTTTATATTACATAAGAATTATCACATTTAATTTTTTTTTAAAAATAAAATAAAACTTTCATACATATATAAGATGAATAATATGTAGAAATTGAATTCTAGTTATTAGATATTTAATTATATAAAAATTGATATGTGCATGCATGTAAATCTTTTTTTTTTTTGTGCGGTATTTTTTACTCAACTTCTTTGTATTTACATATCGGGATATTTTTAGTTTAAAATTTTATGTATTTGGTGTATGTACATTTACTATTAAATTCAATTAGATGTATAATTAAACTATTTTGACTTTCTATTCTATATAAAGCAATAAATACATTGCAATAAATTTTTTAAATATTTTTCCAATAAAAAAAGGTGGTTGTGGCCCATGGGATTGTCGCCTAATTTAAAATAATACATATAATAGATTCATATAATAAATATTAAACATATTGATATAAAAATATATTTAAATTCGATAATTTTAATAACTCTATCTTAAGTTTATGATAGGGATATGCGGATAGCTGGAGATAAAATATTTTAATGTTGTCTGATACAATTTGCATAAAAATAAAAAAATAAAAAAATGAAAATGCAAAATATTAGAATATTAATATAAAAAAAATGTTAAAAATAAATGTCTTCATGCTTATTTCGAATTAAATTCTTCTAACTTGTAGTTGGTGTTTGGGAGCCAGAGTTAACTATGAT